CAGTTTGACGAGTGATACGAAAAACCGGCATGATTTCCGCCTTCTGGTTGTTCTGTCATGTCCGGGAGTCGTTCAAGGACAGTCACACAAAGTCGAAGGCAGAGTAATCAAGGTGCGGCGCGCCTTGGGAGAACACACTAGAGCTCAGTCGGCTACCCCACTGGAAGGCAGAAAATCTGTTTTCGTCAACATGTCAAACCCGCATACTTCTTGTCGTAAATCTAACTGCGTGTGACCAGTTCCGCTTCAACTCCGTCACCCATTGGGCTGTCACTGATAGCTTGTGATGGCGTCACTCTCACCTATCGTGCTTCCCTATCTCCGCCCGTCACCACGTTTCTTCAGATTTATCGTTCTCTCGTCGGAATGGCGCCTTCTCCTTATCAAACTGATAAGCTGTGCGACAGATGTAGCCGGCCGTCTGTCAGTTAGAGCCAACACCCCTGGCCACAACTGTCCCCGCCTCCCGATATCCAGGAGACAAACCATGACAAGAGCCCCACACGGCACATCGGCGCCCTTGAGCACATGAAATGGCGAGGGGGGTGGTACTGTCAGCTGTATTCTAGATGTGCTCAGGGGCTTCGTGGCCTAGTGAGAGGCTTAGTCATGCCGCAGATTTGAGTAAACTACTTACCATGCCTTGGGGGAGATTCTGCCACAATTACTTCTTTGACAGACAACGAGTGCCTACTTAAACATAAATTATTAGATATGCCAACCGTTAGGGTCGCTAAAATGATCACAGCTGGATCTTTAAATTGTAATGGACTTATAAGACTGCTATTCTTGAACCTCATGTAGTACTCCGAAAGGACTGTAGATTGGAGTCACAATTTCGGGCTTGGCTTCCGTCACCAGCCAGCGATAGACTAACCTCAGATCGATAACACCTGATGTCAATAGAAGCGAAAATGCCAGTCCCTGGAAGTAATTTAGAAGAAGCAGATCTGCTCGTGGCGAATTCATCATTAGAGACCATAACAGAAACGGGTCTGCTGTTACTTCTGACGGATTTCGAAACTTCAGACGAGTAGCATTCTTGTCCCATTGATCATGCCTGCTTCTTCTAAACACCTGATGTTCGAACCTAAGCCCACCTGGTCATCTGGTTTGGTGGGGATTGATTATAGGTCACCCCCTGTATCGCCAGGACATGGACACAGGAAACGTCCGTTATGCAGGCGGATCTGCGCTAAATTAGAGGGTTAGTTTTAAGTTTAAGGTTTTTTTTAGAGTTCGTGTTGGGTTTAGGCCACAAAAATATTTCCACCTGTTGGAATTTAGCGTTAGGCCACGTGTACTACGTGGGCGGGACGCTCCTCCTGTTTAGGGAGGGAAGGGGGGGGGAGGGCCCTAAGCAGTTCCGACGGATTGCCGCTCTGTCGGCTGCCATAACAGTGTTCGAAGTCATGCAGGAGTTTCGTTGGCCGATCTGTTCTTATTACCGGGCAGGGGGCGGGAGGGAGACAAACAGAGCGCGGATGAGTGCATACCACTAGGTGACTGTTGGCCACGTCAGCTGCGGAGCTTGTAGGAAGTTCTTTTGTGCACACAATGCTGGCTTCCTCAACCTGATAGCGGTCGCTTCTGCCTTTGCTAACAGGCGCTGACCCAGGGATTTTGGATAATTTGTTGGGACCTTGTAGATGACTCGGAAAGCTTCGTTGGGCTCCACATGATATCCGGAATCAACCATGTGCGCCAGGATAGAGCTGTTTATGCTCCTGTCTTCGCCTTTCCTCAGCCATGCGGGGAGGTGTTCCTTTATTCTTTATCCCCTATAAATATATTGGCCTGACGAGAATTTATCGAAGGTATACGCAAGCACAACAAATACTCTTCTGAATTCTCTGATGGGAATTTTTGCAGCTTCAAAATGGATTTGTAGAATTACAGATTGAAAGAGAGAGATAGTAAGACATCGTTTTTTCTCTATCGTTGTGATTTGACTTGCTCACTTTTTAAATGTTTCCGATCTACCGTGCGGCCGTCTGATGTTCGCCACCAAGTACTATTTAGGTGAGTTACTGCCAGGAAAACGAGAGAGGAGAAATTAGGCTGGTATCTGGAATCTAAATGGTTCGTACAAACTAAAATAAGTCCCTGAGACGGATAATCCTTATCGATTTAGTAGAGAACAGACCTCCTTTCCAACGTCTAATCCCCTTCTTAATTTGTTGCGCTATTTATTTTATTTTTAGATTATCAACCTGTTTGTGGCCGTCATCATGGACAACTTCGACTACCTCACACGCGATTGGTCCATTCTAGGTCCTCACCATCTAGACGAGTTTGTCACCCGGTGGGCAGAATATGACCCGGAAGCAAAGTAAGTTCAAACAAAATTGACCGATTGCGATGACCTCTCCGATGAGGACTGCTGTACTGCTGCGCCGTGTTAGTTTGTAAATTTTAATGGCCAGCTTCTCGTTACTCGACAACCTCTCTAAGTAAATCTCACCTGTAACAAACGAACAGGCATTACCATCATGATGCAAAGTCTTTCGGTATCTGGGGATTTTCTGACTTGGATAAGTGTCCCCAAAGGCTTTCCACTTACGCCTATTTACACCCACGTAATCCGCAGTACCTCGTCTTTGATGCAGTGTAGGAGGAAATAAGTGACTTCGTTCGTATTACCGGACTTAACTGCGGTCAAACCCCTTAAAACAATGAAACCCTTGTGCCAAGCTCATTTTCTTCTGAGTAACCTGGCAGTCGCTGCAAACTCATGCAAGAATCTGGACGTTAGCAGCTATGTTCACCATGTTAACAAATTGACAAATATTCCTCTATTGGTGGACGAGCACTCACTGATCGGTTGGGGGATTCACTCGTCTCGTTTTGCCCTGCTGCTAGCTCTCGAGCCCCGCCCGTAGACACTGAATGGCTAGCATATATTATAGACCGAAAGACATTACCGACAAATACCAGTGAGACTGGGATAATTGCTTCTGGCTTATTAGCCGTCGTCGGCCACTCATACTAAGCCCCACGTGGTTTACCACCCGATGTTTGACGAGCGAACCTACATTTACCATCACTGATATTTATAAAAGAAACCCACAAGACAACGAGCTCAAGGAGCAGTTTGTCAGAACGTTGTAATTTTAGTCTAAAGGTCGCGGGTTCGAGCCTCGGGTGGTGCACCATCTGGGGTTAGGCACGACTGACTGATGATGGCTAATAAGCCAGAAGTGGCCAATGCACACTCCTTTGTCTTCATCGGGAATCAATAAAGTTTTATATTTCTGGCCTAGAGGGCTTCATGATTATGTCTTTTTTCCGAAAATATTCCTCCCTCGGCTAGCATGGTGAAGCAATTTTTCCACCCGAGAATCAGTTTTGCAGGGTGCACCTTCTTGGTACCGCACATCAGATTTTAACGAACGATTATTTTAAACAGGCCTTAGCAGATATGAATAATGCATATGACTCAGTTGTGAAAACTTGGCGGCCCCGGTGGAATTTGAACAAACGATAACGAGGGTAAAGCTTCCGTATAGTCAAACACTCTAACCACCTGAGCTAGGAGGCTCCTTAGTCCGGGAAAGAAATATTTACTGACCATGGCGTCCTCCGTTGTCGAATAACACTTTTTGAAAAGGTTGGAACATGAATCTTATCCACAGAAAGTGCGATCATAGCCCGTTCACCCTCCTCCGCGTCAATAACTGCCGCAATTTCATCAACAATGTTGAGTATTAGTGTGACGATTACTCAGTAATTTGACTAACCAATACGGCCAATGGAAAAAGGATTCAATCGCACGCTCCGATGAGGCCTGTGACCCCGAAAAGTCAGGTGAGACAACATCTTGTTTCAGCGACTGCGTCTGCATCTTGAACTCCTGCAGTTCTACGTTTCGTTTGTATCAACAGGCTTCTTGTTTTTTTTTGTTGAACACGGGCATAGGTACCTTCGGGTTACATGTGTCCTTGCACATGGCCGTACTCTCGGAAGATTTAGCTCATGTCCACTGTTTATACGGGCGTGGTAACCGTTCCGCTATCCCATCGTCCTTTTCCATACACCGTTAGCGTACAGCCAGGGGAATGTTTTTTGCCTGTTTATACTTGAAAGAAGGTCGCTGCTTACGCGGACCTCACCAGCATCCTAACAGCTATGCTATCAATAAGTTTAGTGGTTAAATTTTACTCAATAGGAGAGTTCAGATAAACCTACGTCATAAGTTTTACTATCGATTGTTCATTCTGTTCACATTTTTAACTTCTCGGTATAGATCAGTATATTGAAGGTCTAGAGGCATAGACCGAAATTTGCTGTTTATATCTGGGTCAAAGTCCATTAGTCCCTGTGCGATAACTGCGTAATATACGCATGCTGCCAACAGTTCCTTCTGTTTTTAAACGGTTAGATAGATGCCTATTACACCAAGGACAATCTTGTTATCATAAAAAACGAATTAAACGCGTTATTATTCCGTCACTCACTATGCGCGCACATTCACAATAAATGCCATGTTTCTTCCGAAATTCTGATTGAAAACATTTTCATTTAAGACGGAATTAGCAACTAGCATAACTGTTTATTAACTTCAAAAGTTATCGACTTTTTAATGTCCCATCATCTTACAACTAATCGTAAAGAACAGTTGCATAGCATCAGTTCAATGCATGCAGACCCAACATTCCCTGTTGTGTCCAACCGCAAAGTGATAAAAACGAAAGTGCTATTCGCAATTATTTAGAGGGATCGATCATTTCAAGACAGGGTTTGCGCTCATGTCGACTAACCCCTCCGATTTTCTTAGATGGACACGCTCTCGTTCTAATCATGCATGTAATCGAAGGCACCCCTGAGAAAATCCGGTTTACATTTGGTAGGTTCATTAATTCGGTGAAATATTCAGCCGGTTATTGTTCAGCTGCTGCTGCCTTATTATCTATTATTTTTTGCCGCATCGCTTGGATCCAGCAGAGAAACTGATCAGGTTTCTATTTTGCCCCCTTCCCTCCCTTCTGCTCCCTCTGCCAATGTCTGTCAATCTCGGACTGCCTCCTCTGCTCCACATTTATCTGGACGACTCTGTCGGACCCTGCCGACAACTGCCATCCATGTCTCTCTTCTCCTTGACCTCTCCGCTCCCTCGTCCTCACCGCTGCCAGGGGTCGGGTCAGACATCTGGATGTGGTAACGATGCTGGGCAAGATCAGTCCACCTCTGGGTTTCGGCAGCATGTGTCCGCATACCCGTGCCTGCCATGTAAGTTTCTCCGTTTTCTGAACATGCATGTGACCTGCGGGTTTGTACACCTCTTCAGCCGCCACATTGTCTTGAACCCCCCCCCTCGCCCCCCTGTAGTCGATTGATAGTCTTAAACAGGCCATTTGGAGCGTGGGCAGGGAAGGAAGAGGGGGCGGCGTTACTTTAGCCCACTCCTCGCTGCACTTAATCTGACGCCATTAATAGAACTTACTATGCAGCTGAGCTCACATTTTGCTCTCCAACTAAGGTCCCACCAATTCCTGGTGCGAAATATGCCTTGACATTGCACGCCACTTCCAATTTTTCTTATGAATTTACATGTACTTGCGGATGCAAGTACATAGGGCGAACGCAAAGACAATTGGCAGCCAGAGCTAAGGAGCACTTGCCTAGTTGGCTTTACAAATAGGAACATAGAACACCTCGTTCCTCCAGCACAGAAAGTTTGTTAGATATGGGCCACGAATTGAGGCAAAGGTTCGCATCCCAAGTATGTGTATTGAGTGAGAAAAAGTAGTTTCGATCACCGGAATCGAGCACGAACAACTTATACCTTGCGCTACCTGGAGACAGCCTACATACGGCGGTCAAAACCTGACCTATGTAAACAGTTGGAGCATGTGGTTAACCTAGCTTTACCCTGGTAAAATCTGGTTCCTTGATTTACACAGTCCGCTACCCACCTTTTTGCCCTACCTCCTTTTCATCTATTTTGCCTCCTACCTCGTTTTAATTCGCTAAATTCACTAATTTGCCTTCGTAACCTGCCCTATGACGTTTTTTGACCTTTCTGTACCAATTCAATTTTGTATTCTTCTCATTCGTTACTCTCACCATGCAATGGAATGGACGCAACTGATGAGCTCTTCCGAAATTTTATGGATCCAATAAATCTTGCTGTTTTTGCAGCATACAAACTTGAAACTATCCTGGTAAACTTAAGTGTGTGGCCTAATTGGTTGCAAGCTGACACGATGTCTCTGTCCTATGCAGGACTGCGTAACAGATCCGGAGGTTTCCCTCTTGGCGGGGCCTTTGTAATGCAACCGCTGCGCCCGCACACGTTCTTGGTTATAGTATTGTCGGCAGAGACAAGGAAGGGGCGGCCTTCTTCTTCTTCTTCTTCTCAAAGACAAGGAAAATTAGAATGACCACTTCCGGCTCATTAGCCACCGTGAGCCAGTCATAGCCAGACTTAAGCGGTGTCCCACCCGAGCCTCGAACTCGCGACCTTTTTGGCCCGAGTCAAACTCCCTAACCATGAAGCCACGAGCTCGTTGTCTCGCCGGTTTAGTTCAAGGAATATTGAAACTCACTGATGAACGTTCACCTGACCACTAACGAGACTCATCTGTCCCGCTCTGCCTTGGGTCTCGACAGAGGCCCTGACAGCCGTAGCAGCTGGTAGTATAGGCATATAGTATTATCGGGAACGACAAGGGAGACTGGAATGGCTAGTTCTGGCTGATTCTTGGTTATCTTTATTCATTTCACCGTGCAAAGATTGTGGGCGTGGGAAGAGTGGAGTGCTTCAAATTCGGTGAAGGTCAACGTGTTTGGGTGAGAGTTAGACTTGGAATACGTAAATAGGTAACGCCCTGGAATTTAGAGTAGCGCCACCTGCCGTACGGTTGAGTCTGTATTCCCTTGTCCAAGCGAAGTAACTGTCCTTTGCACTTTGCTATACCTAAGACGGTTTCCATCGCGGTTTTCGTGCGTTCAACTGTGGTCGTCAACGCCCTTTGGCTCCCCCTCCCCTTGCTGATGCCACAAGCCCTACTTAATCAGCTCAAACAGACAAGAAATAAGCAACATTCGGCCGCACGTCCGCTCATTCCCCGATATCCTTGATTGGCTTTTGCATCGCAGTGCAACCACAGCCGGCAGAGGTGCGCTCAGAAGAGCACAGGGTTTGCGTGACTGCCGCTCTCACACACGTGAAACCCCCTCAGATCCGGAATGCTACTCGAGCAAAGCTTGATCCCTTTTTTCCGCTGATTCACTTTGCTCTTAAAGCAGGACTGTCATCGAGCCCCTGCTGTTTCTTCGTTCGCTCCTATCATCTACAAAAACCCCACCTGAATGATTTATGTTCGGATGGGCGGTACGATTTCCACCCCTCGCATTTTTGAATAACCAGATTAGTTGTGGGAACTGCTTACTAACAGTTGTAAAGTGTACTTTGAGTGTGCTGGGGGATCAGTTAAACGGCAAAAGCTGCAGCGGCCTGTCCGATGTCTCTGTCGGAAAACGCAATTTTAGTTGACTGTCAGCTGGCAGATAGCAATAACCCGGACGGAGAGAGCCGTACTCTGAGAATATAATTTGGTTAAACCAGCTGACGTTGCACAATCCCAGGAGACGAATCTAACTGGGTTCGAGCTTCTTTCTTTACGGCTGTATACACAGGGTTGTAGTGGCTAAATAGTGATTGTACTTAGTGCACTACACCCATCAGGTAAAATGCCAAGGTATAGGTAAAAGGCTGAAGGCAGCCGTGGGAAGGATTTATCGTGCACAGAACCCTGCATTGCTGTCTCAGGCAGCATTTGTCATTAGTGAAGCCAGGGCTAGTGTTGACTGCGTCCAGCCAGGCCTGAGAGAGTGTCTGTGTGCGAGAGAGCGATGACAGTTGCTTTTATGTGATTAGTGCAACAAGTCCAAGTAGCGTGCGATTGGTGCGTGTTGCATTGCCCGAGGGGTTGTCGCGTATAGAGGCCCCTGCTACATCCGCCGAGGAGTAGTGTGTTCAAGTGGCTCTTTGGCTGCCGCGATGACTTGGACGCGCGTGTGTGCGCGTGAGGAAGTCGGTCAAGGGTCTGCAGGTCAGCGAGCCCGAAACAACTACCTGTGAAGTTGCATGACCTTGAGGCAGCGGACACTGAAAATGGAAGCCGGACAGCATTGTTAATTGTCCACCGCTGAGTTGCCTAGTTCACACACTAACACCCCCAGCGGCCGACCGCGGGTTCCAACTTCAGGTTTTACCAAACACTTTAGCAGGCGACAGTACCTATAGGATGAATTGATTCTTTCTGAAAATGGTAAGCCCTCATATTCCTTTCTAATTTTCCAGGGATGCGTACATCCTCACAGTCCTAGTTACCCTTTCGTTAGTTTTGGATGATTATGAATATACATTGAGTGCAAAATCTGGCGCAATATTACCTTCAATCAAAAGTAGGGGTGATCACTAGGATTCTATGCGTACGATTCCGATGTCTTCGGAGTCAAAAAACATTCATCATTGAAAGCAACCAGCATACGCTGAACGCATTTTGTGGTTGGTTGACAATTTTCTGGTTTTTTTTCAGACGAACAAGAAGACTCCGTGAACGCCCCGTGAAATTTTAAGTATTTCCTCATTTTTTCTTTTATCCTACCTCTAGAAATTAGTCCAAATGAACATGCCCCTCCAAAGCGACGGAACCGTCTTCTTCAACGCAACTCTCTTCGCTCTGGTCCGTCGAAACCTGCGCATTAAAGTACCTGAAGGTAGGTTCCTCATGCCCTTCTCCCTTTCCGATCCTACGAACTTACCAACTTGATGACTTACTGCACCGAATGCCGTTTCCTGCTGCAAAGGTTGCCTACATGGGTCTTGTCGTGCTCCTGACTGACTTACACGTAGTGAATAGCTAGCTACCAAGTAGGAATCTGTCGGAGTAAAGGTGTTGACCAAGAAAGAAGGCAAAGTGCAATTGTTATTTTTCCGATAAAATATCGACAAGTTTATCTCGTCTCAAAGTCAACAGTGCCTTCTTAATGTCGCTGGAAATGATAAACCTTTTTCGTACATTCTTTATGAAAGCAGGTTTTAAATGTACATGACGCAAGTTTATGAATTCGGCTCATTGGAGGCCCCATCGATGAGTCTCCCAGCCTCCTCGACGTTGTTTCCGGCGTGCGCACTTCGAAGATAACTGCTAACTGTTATAACTTGGGGTTAAAGGACACTGAAACGCCTTTTTACGGCTGTCATTACGTGAGTAGTTGACAGAAGTGAGATGCCATTTGATTGTCTCTCGTCTGTCAAGCATACCATGCTCAGTCCAGCTTATCGTCATTCCTAAACGCACAAACACAACGTTTCAGAGTTGCTGAAGTCACTGTTCATGTGCCCGGAATACTCCAAGCGTGGAAGGTCGGCAGGTGACTTGTTAATTCAATCACTCCTCAGAACTGAATGTCGAGTTGCCGTGTATCGTTCATGATGTAGTCTTCCTAACACGCTCACTGGTGTGGGACCCGAACTCACCCCCCTCCCTCTAAAGGCAGCGTAACACGTTTGGCGTATAGACTAGTACGTGTATGGTAAACGAAGACGATGTGATTAGTTTCGTCACCTGCTGCGATTACATCTCCGCCGGTCGCTTGACTCTGTCCCTATCTTCAGAGCACGACGAAGTGCGGGAAGAGATGGTGGGATAGATGTGGTATAAGTCTGTGTTACTATAAGAAAATGGATCAATTAAAAGACTGCAGACCGATCAAACATAACGTGTACACCACGGCGGACGGCCTGAATCAAAAAGCCGGAGATAATACATACGCATTCTGTCTCATTCCCTCTGCAGTTAATCCTATCCCTAATCAGCCCCCAAATCCCCAGAAGGCCTGGTTCCAGAAGGTGAACTTCAGCTGGAAACAACCTGTATTTTTTAATCCTTTTTGTCTGTCTTATTCTACATCTTTTGTGTTTCTGTTACTTCACGGTTCGTGGTTCCATGGGGCTTAAAATGAATGCTGCTGAAAAAATTTTATTTGGTTCGTGATTTTCGGACAAAAGTGCACATATATGCTATCTAAAATTGAGTATTTCTCCAGGCAGCAATGTTGACTGTGACCGCCAAAGTTGCAATAGCCCCTAGTGTTTAACTCATGAACTTGAAATCAGCGAGTTTTTTGGAAAACGGTCAAACTGCCTGATTATACCTATGCAAACATTCGGTGCCCTTCAGATTCTAATCTGGATTGGGATTTTCCACCGTAACTCAGCAAAAATGCTGCTTTTCCAACTTGGTCTAGTCGGTAAATCACTCCTCAGGTATTAGATGCAATAATCTCACACCAAAGATTCTTAGATGGCTCTGTATCCTCGAAACTTGCACAACTGTAAGTTTTCTTCTACTAATTATTCGCCAATTGCAGAAGGAGCTACTGCTATCTTATGTGCTTGACTAGAGTAGCGAATTTCCTGGCCGTTTTGATAATGCCTCCGGACAAAGGTAATGTTCGAACTGCGGTTCCTATTCGACGCCCGACGCCCGACGTCCGACGACGACAGTTCCACCGTCGATTTATATGAAGTCCGTCGTGCGCTCCACAACAGGATGGTGCAGGGACTGTGACTTGTGTTGGATGGTAGTGAGAGTACGCTTGCGATGCATCCTTATTCACTCTTCCCCTATTCCCGCACCTGTGCCCGGTGTCAAGAAGGCCAAATTGGCGAGAGGCGCAGGTGGCTGGCGCGGCGAGAGCCTGCACCTACGCGTGCCACCGCGCCTCCTCCCGTGCTCGGCATTTGTTATGGGAACGCAACCCGAATAACGTCTGCCGTACCCTGATCCGGCCCCCCATGTTGGTCCAGCGCATCGACCACGTAGCCTGTTTAGGGGACAAAAGAGCGACAGCTACCGACAGTGTCACGAACAACTACAGTTTGATCATTGTCTGCAATGAATATATCCAGTACCGAAATAAAAACACGTTATCAAGCGCTAAAATTGATTTAGGCCGGCCTTTCTGGAAATTCGGCCTGTTTGCTAACTCTGCCTGTGTTGGCCGAGTGTTGCTAAGACCACGTGAGTGCTCAACTGTTTCCATAAACACCAGGCATTGCGAATTAGCCTCAACACCAATTGGTGGAAATAATTGGAAGGTTAATCGGCTCATGGAGGGGAAAGTGAAAGGATAGGTGATTTCCATGATGGAGGGGACAGTTACGAAACAAGTTATGGGACATTCTGTGACCTGAAGTTTCGGATGCATATATGAACCTATAATTAGATAAGAGTAATGTGTGCGTTAGGGTACGTGTACTTTTAGAATGCATTTACTATGACACCGCATACCTTTCCACTTCAGCGCCCCCGTGGATGTTTCTACTTCCTGTGAGATCGATCTTCTCGTGCGTTCAGTGGTAAACATATTTAACTCTTAACTAAACTAGAACGTTAAAGTTGAGAAAGAAGAATTAGTGGTAAACAGGAGGGAGCGGCAAAACAACAGATCAACGTCAGTTTGTTAACAGAAAGCGAGATTGGCTAATGCACCCGATTCAACATAAAGGGACTGGGGAATAGTAGGCGGTAGATATCAGCGAGCTATGATGACGCGGGCCTAAGTCTCCATGTGGTATGGAAGAAGTTTATTCTGTGACTCTCATTTACACATTTCCACTTGGGTAAAAGTATAAGCATGATAGCGTACTTCCTGTACTAGTCGATTCGTCTTGAGACTATTGCCTACCGCGTTTGCCATTGAGCTGCCTCGAATACATACATACAAAGACGTGCGGACTGCCTAAAATAATTTCGTTCTGGCGCAAAAGTTTTACCAATCGCATGGTATAAAAGAGGTAGCCCTTAAAGAAGAAGACTTTTACAGCGTCGACTACAATCCTTTCCCGAAGCCACATCGCTTTCACAGCAAGTGTGAAACAACTTGCACAGTGACCTACTCAAGCTAGTCGGATTAAATCGCTTTCCGGTAACCTCCATCTTTTCGGTTTGACCCCTATGAACTGTATCATAACTGGTCTGACGACGAGCTGGGGAACCAGGCTCGAAAATTCACACAATAAACATTATTCTTATCAAAATAATTTATCGCTAACAACCTATCTCTCTCTCTTACATCACCTTTGATTGGTACTAACCTCCATATTTGCCCTACAAAAATTTAATTGTCAACTGCCTTGCGAAAACAAGAAAGGGAATTCGATTGTGAAGTAACTAAACGACTGGTTACTTGGCCACACTCTCCCAAGTATCCAGTAGGCCTTCAATTTGGGGTTAATTGAACACAGTCCTTACCACGTTACATTCCGTGGACTGCTAATAAATTCCGTCACGCAAATCTCGTCGGACGGCGAGGCTACGGCGCGGTGTTGGCGGGGGGGGAGGAGCAGGGGGGCAGAGAATGAGATATCTCAAAGGTCACTTGCCAAGCCAAACCCCTATCCCTCTACCTGCCGATACAAGGAAGCTTTGAGCAGTTTGGGTGTTTTCTTTCAGCCTCAGTGGTCACGGTAATCGTTTTCTGTTCTTCACACAACCGTCCTATAAGGCTGAAGATTTCTTTCTTTCCGAAGTTGGTCTCTTCGTCTGCTAGCCCATGCTGCTAAGGTGATCCTCCCGTATGTCCGTGGCCGAATTGACTTGGGCCACAGTCAGACTTGTGATAATTGTTGAGTTTTGGGCCGGCAGCAGGCGTAGCAGAGAGCTGTAGGCCGGAAAATGAAAGGATACTGTTTATTGAACAAAACTTCTTCCTACATGTATATTCCCCACCGCACGGAGGCCTCATCTGCCTGTTTTGAGGCTTCATTTCACGATCCGAGTCGATTTGCAAAGCAACTTATCCTGCTCCAAAAAAAGGCGATCTGTAACAATTTTTGCATATTTCACTACACTTTATGCATTCCTATACCGTTTCAATGGTGTTTTTAAGGGCTTTGGTCATTTACTCTAAAAAGACTGACTGATACTGGCATACTGACTGATGGTTCGACCGTCGATTTCAATGATATCCACTGCGAGCTTCAACAAGTTGAAGCACGCGGTGACTGTGGCGGAATTACAGTGAAGGCAAACTCACCGGGTCTACCCCACTCGCTGACCACTCCCACACCTAATTCCGGTTGTGAAGATAGAGTCGAGAAGGCCGGAAAAAATAATGCGGGAGGGCGCAGACGGCTGGCGCGACAAACATTGAACACGCGTACCAAACACCCTGTCTCGCTACGTATGCTCCCGACAGGGAGCGCCGTAAAGGCCACATTAGGGAGGAGCCGTTGTATCTGACTCGCAGCCCGCAGACAGCCACACCACACAACAAGACACACTGGACCGACTGCGGTGTCCGAGTTAACCCGCCAGCTGGCAACCCTCCAAGCCACGGCTTTTAGCGCACTACGATAGATTCAAGCGCGTCGGATTAATTATAGTGAAGAAAGAAATGCACCGAGGGTTATCCTCACTCTCTCCCTCACCGCCAGCAACAGGCAACCGTCTAGCTGTCGGCCGCCTGAGTTGGGGTGGACGGAACGCTGAAAAAGAAAACAGATCGGAGATGAGCATGGTAGAGTGGGTTGTTCAAGAAAAGAGGAAGAAGGTATATCACAGAAGGTTGTCGTAAATGAAGTGGATGAGTAGAAACGAAGGGTTGGACTATCTTGGCCATCGGCACTGAACCAAAAAGTAACCAACAGTGGCTCATAGCAAGCACCGATGAAATTCTGACAAGTTTTTGTGAGTGTTTACCTGCTGCGGTAGGTGGGTGTGGCACCCCTAGACGAAGACTCATGTCACGGCAGGCACTATGG